ATCACAGATCATCCTAGCTTTAGTGCGTACTGTTTTGAATTCGGTACTTTGGAGTCCGTAAAGCGGGGTGCATGAATGCACTAAGGGATTATCACCTACACAGACTTCGGGATTGTGCGTGTGTGTGTGTGGGGGGGGGGGACATGGGGCACTTGAACCCCTTTATTCTAATTTCTAGCGTAAGGCTTTCTATAGCCCCCCATCGATTAAATGCTGAGTAACCTGCTGATGGACTTCCTATATGTACAATGTATTGGAGAAACCGGTTACTTGAGAATGCATGTTTGGTTTCTGCCGGAGACCCCTGTAGTTTCTCTATCTTCTGCATCTTCGGCAACGACATAAATCTGTACTAGGTAGGCCTTTCCCATGCACAAATCATATTTCTCGTGGAAGTCTTGCTTTGTTGTCTTAGTGTAATTGCAGATATCTTTTTGTCAAACTGCATCCTTATTGATTCCCCCCCCCCAAAGTTTATGGACAAGACTCCTCAGCTTTATATATACAGTATACCTGGGCAGCAGATCCTCAGTCCGTGCATGATTTGTATACATCATACATGTTTAAACAGTCATATCCCCACACTGTCCGCATCCGCATTGTGATGAAATAAAACTTTGAGTGATGATAAACAAGGACTTCAGTTTAATCAGCCTTACAAAATTCTTTTCGCAAAGAACGAATTCAAGGAATTGTGCTTTTCCCGAAAGGATTCGATCAGAGGGTGTATCTAAAGTGTATTCTCAATAACAACGTAAAAGTGCTCTGGCATGGCATTTTTAGCAAAACCTTTCAGGAAACACGCACACGTTTCAAGTTCTGACGTGTGTGCAAAATCAACTTCTGACACCAACTGCAGTTCGTCGACTTTCAAAATGAAAAATCGTCTTTTTTTACCAGCATTCATGACAACAAACTCCTTACATGTCCATCTCCGCAGAAAAGTACATGTATAATACAGATAAGTAAAAAGGACTGATTTTTAAAGACCTAAAGATGAATTTACTCTGCTTAATCTTGAGGAATCTCAAGGGTCACTATCCTTCATCAGTTTTATTTGTAAATTTATCAAAGTTGTTGTTATAACTACGTACATTGCCCCCCCCCAAAAAAAAGACTGGGAGTTCTTGTCATTCCTCCCTTGTTGGATTGTGGATTTTTAGACACTGTCCGACGCGACGCGACTCTCACAGCAGGAAGAAAATCCTTTGCCCCCGACTCCCTTTTTGAATTCGGTAACTTTGATTTTGGCATTCTGGTTCGGAGAAAATCTGGCATTCAAAATCAGTCTTCTTTAACAATGAGTCGGTCTTCTTTGCCGGGTCCTACAGCGTGAACTGCGGTTTACTACATCACAGATCATCCTAGCTTTAGTGCGTACTGTTTTGAATTCGGTACTTTGGAGTCCGTAAAGCGGGGTGCATGAATGCACTAAGGGATTATCACCTACACAGACTTCGGGATTGTGCGTGTGTGTGTGGGGGGGGGGAACATGGGGCACTTGAACCCCTTTATTCTAGCATAAGCCTGTTGATAGCCCCCCCCCACGAATAAACGCTGGATACACCACTGATAGACTTCCTATATCGTGTATTGGGAAACCGGTTAGGCCAACTTGAGAATCCATGTTTGGTTTTTACCGGAGACTCCATTGCATGATCTTTTGAAGAAACTTAAGAGTCCCTATCCTTCATCCCAAGTTTTCTACCCCATGACTAAGCGTATTGCGTTCATTGATAAGGGTTCATAACTGTTAATACACGGACGTCAGTGGTGTTTCGGGGGGGGGGGTGGAATAGGGCAACTTGGCCTTTGTGAGTAAACTGATCGCTGAAATTAAGATTAATTAAAGCTCATGTAGGTGACTCCTTACTTTGTAGATTTCACATATTACACGCATTAAGTTGTCTAGAACAACAACGTTTCTGTTACTTTTGTGAGTGATTGATCAATTCTTTCTGGCACAAATTTAACGAAATGTTGTTTGACAGACGTCTAATATGAAAAAAATAGAGTTTTGCCCGTCTCGGTACAAAATTCTGAAGACGTGAAACGATATAATTTCATAAAAAAATCAAGTGACATATCGCAATAGACGCCTCAAGGTTCAGTCAATTAATCAAGGTGCAGATCTAAATGCAAGACAACTTAGTATGCGCATGCGCGTAAAGCCACCGAAAAGTGACCACCGTTCATGCGTGCCCCTCCATACCATTTTCATAATGCTCATACACTGTGAACATCATCAAGTAGCAAAACGAAAATCAGAGAGATTGCGCGGTTAACAGTACTTGAGCACCGTTACAGTTCGAAGGCAAAATGTCTGCAAGACGTCTGTTCAAGATTGAACGCGAAGTTCTGGTATCTTTCAACGACAATTCAACAAGTATTCTTCCGTCCAAATTAATCAAAGATGTTCGTCCGGGACTTCAGCCGGGGGACATGGTCGAGGTGACTTGGGACGGTCAATTGCTGGCCTGTGAAATTCTTCGGCTTTCTGGTAAGTGATTTCGATGAATTAAGTAACATTGTAATAGGTAAAAATGTAGGTAAACAAATCACAAATTGATAGATTAATGGAAGTTTGTATACATGTACGTGTAGTTAACATGAACACGTTCTTCTCATCTTGCGACTCCTGATCGGCCACCATTTTTTCGTGTGAGAAGTAGAAAAAGAAAGATACAGCGGTCCCTATCGTGAGAAATATGTTTTCATGCGAGACTCTGAAATGAAGTTGGCAATTTCTCTGACATAGTGGCAAGTTTAAGAGCATTTTAAACAATACAAAATTGTTCTCAACCCGGTATTGTGGAGTTGCTGACGCAACTTGTGTGTTCAAGGGTTGACGCGTGACCGGAAGATCATGGCGACCACGCTGATTAGAGTCAACAAGCGTCAGCTTGGATAAGACGTTAAAATATGCTCTAAAGATTTATAGGTGGTTTTGTCATAATTCATGGAATCTAAATCTGCAACAGTGTAAAACAAACGAATTTGCTCCCGCATTCTCGCATGAGAAAAATGTATGGGGGTCACCATGTTTTACTGACCCTCCAGGCGAAAACAAGATAGTGACCCATAATTGCCACGGATGTGTCACGCACATTTCCACGCTCAAATGTCATTTATGATAAATGTGACACACTGATTAAATTGAGTACATGTAACTTACTGACAGTTTGTTGACCCTAAAACTTTAACCTTCAAGTGCACTAAGTGTTATGTTGCAATTTACATGTAGATGACCACTCGGATCTTCTGTTTCTCCAACGGGCACTAACGACGAAACCCAAGGCAACGTCTGCGACGGACAGTAAGGTATTACATGTGAACGTTGTCATAGTTCTAATCTGGCGAGATAATGACTTAATGACTTAAATCGGAAATGTATAATGCCAGCATGAGGTCATGCTATTGCCCCCATGCTTTTTAGCTTGTACATATTTGCCTCTTGACCTTTTTTTTACAGGTACTACAGATCGCGCGGGAAACAACGAAAAGCAAGAAAGTGTCTGCTGCAAAAGGAACTGCCGAGGTGATGAACCATTTCATGTGAACCGCTTTGGGATTGTTATCGACATGTTTTTCAAAATCGGTACTTTGATTAAAAGATATATGTATACTCAGGGATAAAATCTAAAGTGGAGGCATAATTTGCAAATTCAATCTTTTCAATTTACATCCAGGTCGATCCCCGCAGTTCAAGGAAGAGGTCAAAGTCAAAGGAGAGGAACGTGCCAGCTCCAAAGAAAACTGCAACGGTAAGGCCAGTTTTTAGAAAGAAATATAAACAAATAACATGACAAATGTGAAGCTTATTTGAGAATGGCAGTTCTGTGAATCCCTGTTATACACACACACTTTAGTATTCACCAACCAAGCTGACTAACAATTTAATGTTGCAAAAAAAGGGGGGGCAATCATCTTTCGTTAGAAAATGCAAAACTTATTTCAGTCAACACTCATCCTGCAGGGAAGGAAAGCCGCGTCAGTTATTGCACGTTTTTGCGAAGAGGAGGAAGGAGACCCGAGCAGTCAAAAACTGGTATGGAAGAAATACGTTCTTTTTGATTCCGGAAATTTCTTGAAATCGTACATGCTCCAAGCATTTTGATCTTAAGGTACTCAACAAAGTACATGTACTTAAAGTTCTCATTAGTTAAACACAAAAAAGTTAACTACACTGTACATGTATATTGCTGTGAGAGGTGATCTTCAGACGAATGAGGTTGACTTTGCTCATAAGTACATGAACATGCATGTAACTCACTTCAAGTTATATCAACCAACATGCAAAGTCTAAAGCTTGATTATCTGTTGCAAAACTTAAATTTTTTATTTAGGCCTAACTTTTTTTTCGTTAACTGGGGTTTTACAGACAACTGGTGGTGACGAGGAAGCCCTCCAAATAAAGGACCGTGCTGATCCAGGCAAGAAGGATCGGATGGCATCTCATGGGGAAGATCTGGCAGAATCAGACAAAGAAAGTCTTGAAGTAGATTCCGTTCAGGTGATGATCGTAGGATTCTTTGAAAAAAATCAAACATATTAAAAATAAAGTTAACTTGAAAAAAAAGTCATCTGATACATGTACATGAAAGTCAAACACAAAAATGGCTGAATGAACTTAATACTCTGTAACACACTTAGACCCTGGGTTTGTGTACCTCAGACCCATCATTGGCACACTGTACAGCTCTGTTGCTTAATAAGACCCTTGTTATCATGTTCTTTTGTTTCTTCTGGTTTAGATGCCATACTTTCCAGAGGTGACATTCCTGTCAGCCAACTCCAGCTGCACAATGGATGATGTAAGTTTGTCACACGCTTTGGGGTAACCTGTAATGGTGGCTTGTAAAACATAAAGTTATCACATGTACAATAATTACAAAAAAACTGTCTAAATCTGAAAAAGAAAACGTGCACAATTTAACTTGTGGTCAGTTTTAATTTTTATTGATGATAACGATAAGAAATTGAAGCAGGATTCGATTGTGTGTAAACTATGCCTTCATAGTGTAAACTATGGATCTTCAGAAAACGAAAACGTGCCCATCAGGGCATATACTTTTTATAAGCTGCTGAATGCATAATACCCGGGGCGGTTAAAAGCTTTGTTACAAACAACTATTGTTTATTTGCTTGTCCCACTCCTTAGAAAAAGAGATACATGTACATAAGAACATTCCCAACTCATTCATACCATGAATGAATTCCAGCTTTGAGGTAGTTTAGCGTTTCTTAAGTAAAAAAATGCTAATACTGAACATTTTGCCTTTCTGATTCAGACACCTGATATCGCAGCTGCGGGAGCCTCCTGTAAGAGATCAATGCTGATTGATGTAAGTATAAACACATGTACTGATTTTTGTCTACTTTATTCTTTATGTGTAGGTCTAGTTGATATCTTGTACTAAGCTTGTGCATTAATGTCTTGTACAAAATGATTTATGAAATTGTTAACTGTAACTTGCAAAGAGCAATATTTAGGTTGGAACATAAGTCATCATATTAGTATGATTTCTTCCCAAATTATCTATGATATACTTAAAAGATGATGAAACGCGAAATGTTAAATATTCTCCACACACATAGGTGCATAAATGAACTTGTAACTAGAGGCACTGTTAATTCAACATTCTGCTTCCAACAAGGATATTACTTCCCAATCCTTTGCAGTCCGTTTGTTTCATTACTGGTAACACAAGATTAATCTGTATTATTTGGTATGTGTGCAGGACCCTATTCCTTCGCCAGTTTGGCAAACAAGCACACCGCTGCACAGGGTGAGCTCAACACTTCAAGACCCAAAGCTGACAAGATTGGCAGAGCAGGTGAACGATATCTGGGAGTGGATGCAGGCGTTAAAATCTCATCACAGTTTCCTGCCCTTGTGCCGACCTGCCGAGCCAAAAAGCCCTCCATCGTGCCCCCTTGCTCCAGAAGTGCTCACCCCTGTGAATCATCCCACCATCCCGGCAGCAACCAGTCTTGCCCCGCTCAGCCCTGTCCTTCCCAAAGACCCCCATACACTACCACCGACAACTCTTTCTCCTGCAACAGTTTGCGAAGCAAGAGACAGTGCCACTTCCGTGCCAAATTATGCCCTGTCTCTTGTTCGCAAACTGTTTACGGAGGAGGAAATGAAGGTGGGAAATTGTAAGGGGGTCAAGGGAAAACACCCTCTGGATCCACAAAGGTTGAAATTTGTTAAACAGGAAGTGGCCAAACACCCTGAGGTCATTGCGATCAAGTTTAACACATACTGGAAACGTGATTGTATACGAGCCATAGATGAGGGGTGTAGGAGATTGAATCGCAGTGTAAAAAGTGCATCTAATGTTTAGACACATCATTAATTATTCTCTCTGCACTTTGTACAATCAGCAAAATCAACAGGGGGGCAAAATCTGCCCCCCCCCCGCTCTTTGAAGGTTAAACTAGATGTAGAGCAATTTTAAATCTTTAATTCTTTTTTTCCCATTTTTAAATTAATTTCAATTTTAATTTTTTAATTTAAAAAAACTATAGTTCTATTAAATTTAAAGCTGGACATTGGCACACCCTTTTTTCATTAAGACAAACTTGACAGTTCAATAAATTATTAAAATACATGTACATGAAATGCTTTTGTCCCGAGAAATAAATTTTGAGGTGTCTAAATTTATTATGTTCATCCCCCGAGGAAGGCTTCCTCCCTGTGTGGTTCATAGGCGGGTTCATAAACTGTCAAAAAGAAAAGGTTCTCTTCATGACAAACGTGTACAAGTACTGGTTATAGCAAATGCACCCCAGTATTCCTTACCTACAGCGACCTATTAGCCTTCCGAAAGCTTAAAAAATGTCCTGGAAAGTTCAGTTTAAGAGGAAGAAAACAAATTGTTAACTTGATTAAAAAAGCAGAACTTAAAATTTCAGACCAGGATAGGGTTTGTGCACGGGCATAACGCGAGTGTCAAGCGCCGTCCGTATATGGAACTCTTTCCCCAAATTTAAACCACATGTCCATGTCGAGTCTGGAAATAAAACCCAGGGACCGAAAAAAATACAAGTTGACATTCATAATTCTTCTTCACCTGTGCTGAAGAGGTTTCTCGTCGGAGACACCAGCACTGCAGCAGTCACAGCACACGACCCGGCACCTTTCAACTCGCATGCTTCACAAAAAGGTTTCGGTCGTCGCCGCTGCGCACATACGTATACATGCACATAGCCACGGTGTCACGTCACGTATGCATGCACGTACCGGGTCGGCTAGGGCCGTTTTCCAATACTAGACTTGAGCTTCGTCGGAGGCTTCAACTGTTTTATACTACCCGACTTTGAAGTTGGAAGCGCAAAAGTAAATATGATAATCCCACAAAACATCAAGTAACATATAAAAGAGCCAAACATTAAAGTACACGTACTTCAATTTAAGTTAATCCTTCAGACCCACAATTGGAGACGGAGACAAAGTTGAGTATTGAAAAACGGCCCAGGGAATGGCTGGGCGCAGAGAGGGGTATCTACAATTGCTCAATTGCCACGATCCCTAACCCTAGTCTTTTTCCAGGCGTTTGGTACAGCTTTTGTAACTGCGTACATCAAGGAATAATGTGCACGATACAGTTTTCTTCAGGGCACGGTTATTTTTCAGTTGTTTAATTATTTGCTTTGACATCTGTTACGACTTGCTGTTAGATTACATAAACACATAAAATCCACATAAAATATTTACAAAACTTTCTCAAGTCCTCGAAATTACCATTTTTGGTGGGCTGGAACAGTAGCCTTGCACTATATGCGAGGTTTGAACGGTACTTTTGCTATCAAGAGGATTTGAAAAACAGTCCTCTACTTGCACCACCAGTCAACCGACAAATGAACCAAAATTAATGATTGGTCTCGTCTTCTGTCCGCTCATAATTCAACTCTCCGACATAAAAGGCCAGATTTCATATACTCCAACCAGGAGTTATTGTAAGTCACCAGAGACGAAGTGTCACTGAATGGGAAAGTACCTTCATCTTTTCACACACTATAAATACACTACGTTGGGGAATATAACTGAAATTGGGGACGCCGTGAATACGCTCTGTTGGCAACAAAGGAATACATGTTCAGGACTGCCTTGTCCCCCGATCCTGGAACGCTGCGCCGGATAACTACGTGTGTGGGTGGTTTTTTTTGGGGGGGGTGGTTAAAAGTAAAATCTTAAAAGTATCTTAATTCTCTTTGACTTGAAAAAAAAATTTTTTGAGATCATAGAGATTATTCTCGTTTTATTCCTTCGTCCTCCAAAATGTGTCTTTCAGAATCTGACTAGTACCAGCTTAAAAAAATCGCTACATGTATATTGAAATAGCGCATTTTTATGTAACCAGGGTAATTGTCCGGTCCAACCCAAAACTAGTATTAGCAGAATAAAATTACGACGCCGTTGAGTATATTTTTATTTTATTTTCAGTCCAATTTCACTTAAGGGATAGTTATTTCATGTCGCCATCCGCTCAACTGCTCTGCCCAGAAGTTTCATTATCCTTACGCATGATTTGAGGCACAAGGGGTGTATTTTTATATTCAAAATAGTGCAGTGTGACGACGAAATTAATTGTCTAATATTGTGTACTGTGAATTTGAACTCAATGCATCATTGACTGCACAAACGGTGGCCGACAACACCGCTCACGCTTCTCAAGGAAGGTAGACTGGACTCGGCCAATAGTACCGACTTATTTGAAGTTTAGTTTGGCACACATGACACAGGAAGCCTTCATTTGTTGCGGGCACAATGCCAAGATCCAGTAGGGTTCGCGGTATGTGAAATTCACGTTGTGTGGACGCATTTTGTAGATCGTTCGAAAATCCGTTTTTTTTTTTGTTTTTTTGAAAGACCTTTTTTTTCCGAAACCTGTACCTTGAAGGGGAAATTAGCCATGATTGTGTGCTCTTTTGTCAAATTGAAGCAGCTCATTTTGATCGTTTTTGCTTTTAAAAATGTTTGATTAAAACCACACCGTACT